AATAAGACTTTCCGAGAGAACGACGCGCCATTTATCCCGAAACAGCAAATTAAGGGTAACAGAGTAGTCGGTAGTCACGACAGATCACGACAATTTCATCCGTTTCCCTGGCTGCGATTAACCTAGAGCAACGCCCGACGCGGAGCGAGTCCATAGCCAGGAGGCTCGAGACCCAGTACCAGCAACAACTCCCGTAGACGTCACTCGTTACGTATTAATGGAATGTCCCGCAATCCTCGATAAATAAAGCGACAATCGTATCGGCGATTTGGTCGCTGATAGAGGGGCGGTGGCGACGGGGGCGGGAGGGCGGGGAGGGATCTCGAGCCAAGTCATATGTCGCCGGGGTCTCGATTCGTCCCGGCTTACGTGCGCGCATTTGCATAAATCCAATGAAGTGCATTCCATCCTCGACGACCATCGCGCGAACAATTACTCAAGTGCGCGGGATACGAGCACCGCGTTACATAGCGTGAAAGACCGATGCCGATGCGTTTTATTGTGAAATATTCCGTTGGCCCGGCGTTATTGGGTACATGGAGGGGTAAGAGGCGCGTGAGGCGTAAGAAAGCCCTTGCCTACCGCCACCTTCTCTTCCATCTCACTTCCAATACGCTCTTTCGATGCTCACGCTGCGATAATTAATTTTAAAATCTAATCTACGCGTTAATAGTGGATCGCGTGTTTTTTTTCTTTTCTTACATTGTTTGATATTTCTCTAACATTTTTTCATTTCACAGACAAATGGCTTCCTCGTGCTTGTAAAATTATTAACTTTTAACGCGTCTATCGCGCAAAGGCAAGAGAAATTATTGACACTACCGGAAAGCTATTAAAACGAAAGATTCCCTGTATTAATGAGATTAATTAAACCTAATGACATTTTACGTTCCTCGAGTTATTCCTTTTATTATTAGAATAAAACAGTTTTATTATAATCGCATACAAAATTAAATGTATATGTATGAATTTATGCAGATTATTATCTTATTATTATTATTATTATTATTGTAGTAGTAGTAGTAGTAGTAGTAGTAGTAGTAGTTAGTAGTAGTAGTAGGTAGTAGTAGTAGTAGTAGTAGTAGGTAGTAGTAGTAGTAGTAGTAGTAGGTAGTAGTAGTAGTAGTAGTAGTAGGTAGTAGTAGTAGTAGTAGTAGTAGGTAGTAGTAGTAGTAGTAGTAGTAGGTAGTAGTAGTAGTAGTAGTAGTAGTAGTAGTAGTAGTAGTAGTAGTAGTAGTAGTTGTTGTTGTTGTTGTTGTTGTTGTTATTTTTCTTTCGTATTTTTTTCTACAATATATTATTAATTAGTATTAATGGCTATATATTTAATCTATAACTACCCATATAACAGAGACTGTGACTAGCGAACAAGTCCTTCTCTTAAGATTAGAAACTCAAAGTCTTGAAAAGGTTAAATATTTCGACAAAACATAGCGAGTAATTAATTTCTCGCTTAGATTATAAAAGATGGTCGAACTTATTACTAGCGCTTACAAGGCGTTAAAATTCGTCTATCGATTGGGAACGTCGCAGCCGCAATTTTCTCTACGCACTACACCAGCATTCTAAATAGCTATTATTTTCAGAAATGGCAAACTCTCGGTTTATTAATCCATCAAAACGTTGGTAAGCCAAAGTTTACCATAAAAATATCGCAAATAAATTGATTAATAAGGAGTGTACGAGATTTAACGATTTCCAACAAGAAAGTACACCATAATTATCGCAGATGATGAAATTATATATAAAACCGGCTTGCGAATACCGATGTCCACAGGTGTGTATACATTCATCTCGTATCGTCAGTCATTCGAGCCAAATGATAAATACGCCTAATCTTTGGAGTAAGAAGGTTGGTGAGGGGCGGGAGGTGGGACGCGAGGACGACACCGATTTGCCGCGACAATGATCGCTGCTCTTCGTTTTCCGCGAGCCGATAATGGCCTCGACAGCGTCAGCGCCCACCCCACCCACGGTGAAATAAAGCCCGCGTCCGTTCATGAATTTTATTGCCATGCCAATAAGGAAGAAAAGAGGGGCGTAATGTTATGTCTCGAGGTGTTGCCGGCGTTGGATTTCCCGTGCGTGCGGGCGGGATCATCGCGGCTCACTTTGAACCCTTTTATCGAAAGGAGACGCCGCCGTCTTGGCAATTGTTTATTTCGCGGCGAGGCGGTGGCAGTGGCGATGGCGGTGGCGGTGGTGACGGGGGGCGGTTGAACGGCAGGGGAGAGGGGTAGGAGGAGGAGGATTAGGAGGGGGATTGGGGGATTGGGGGATTGGGCGATGGGGGGGAGGTGGAGGGAGCGTAATCGTAACGCGGGGGGATTTAATAAACAATCGCGGTGGTTGTGGCGCATGCGGGAGCGCGCGAGCGCCTCGTGATTAATTACGCGGCAGCGATAACGCGCTCGCCGCGTGAAAGGATAGCGCGAGGGAAAAAAAGAAGCAAATATGACCGGGATAAGAATAGAAGCCCTCGTTTGGGTTATCGTTGTCGGAAGCTGCTTTGTGTTGTGGTTGCCGCGCACCGACTTATATCCTTTGGATTCTTTTATTTTTCAGCGCTCGCTGCTTTTCTCCTTGGCTCCTTCGGAGAGGCGAATGCAAGATATCGAGCGTTTTGCATGGATAATTTTATTCCTCTTTCCCGATCGCTTTCATAGTCCTATGCTCTCTCGATAGCGCCTTTTTACTCTTACTATTTTAATTTCCCGCGCGAAAAGCGAGTACGCAGACATTTATTAGTGTTTGTTCGAGGGATAATAATGAGGCGCTGCATCATTTGGAATCTGAATTAATATTCGTGATAGGCATGACTGAAAAAAGTTGTGACAATTCATAAAGCCAATTTTATTATTCATCCAGTATTCAATGAATTTCAAGTTGTTTCATGTTTAATTAAAAATGAGGGAATAACGTGCGGTAATCCTTATTTATTATCGAAGCTAACCTCATGCCGCCACTTCAAGTGTTAATAATATATTGAAAGAGATTTCTGTTAAATTAATCATATATCATGACAATAGGGATTTATTGAGGTAGTATTATATATGAAAATATTACATTGAGATGCTCTTCAGATATAGAATTGCAGGCAAGAGCCGTATTTTAAAAACGAATTTTCTTTCGAGTACATTAAATGGTCGATTGGAAATTACAAATCCCTCTCCAAAAATATTTGCAACGAGATTTGTATAATCTGCGATAACTAGAACGTTAATAGATAAATAAATAAAAAAAAGCATAAATCATTTGAATGTATAATTCAAAACATTGTATAATATTTTCTAGAATTAAAAAATGTACAGATTAATTGCATGTGAATAAAAAAGAAAATTAAATTAATTTATTTAAGTTTACAAGTATGTGTATTTCAATAAGTGAATTTATTCGTTCGCCCAAAAAAAAATTATTATTATATGAAAAGTATACATATATTTAAAATGTAAAAACAATAAAATGATAATGATGATGATGTCGATAATAATAATAATAATAATAATAATAATAATAATAATAATAATAATAACAACAATGATGATGATGATAATAATAATAATAATAATAATAATAATGATGATAATGATAATGATAATGATAAAATGGTCAAGGTAAAGACGAAAAAAGCACATATGCAAGGATCGAATACACCGTAATATTTGACGTCATTGATATTAATTAATGAGTTGAAAGACATTTAAATGATAATTTAAAGATTACACGAAACGATAAGACAAATAGTCTTATTTAAATCAAAAAACAATAGTCGTGATGAAAATATATTTAAAGCACATTTTATTTGCGTTAAGAGCAAAATTATTTATATGTGTGTGTGCGTGTACGCGCGCGCGCGCACTATCGTTGATAAGACATTGAAAAACGTAACCTTAAATTAATAATTATCGTCGATTAAAGTTAATGTAGTAGGATTCTTTCTTACATTTATTATGAAAATCGTCAAAATTAAACCCGTAACGGAATAAACAGAGACTATATTGATATTATTACTAATTTGAATAATATATTATAGGTCCGCGTATGAGATAAGCAGTAATTAATTAAATCTTAAGTAAGGCAGTATTTTAATGTATGATAAGTCAATGATTTACTGTTAGCTTTCGAGAATACAAGATCGTTTGAATTTTTTGTATAAGAAAAATTATGTTATTGTTAGAAATTAAAAAAAAATATATATATATATATATATATATATATAATATGTATATTATTTGATAAGATATCGGAATAATTTGAAATCGCGATGAATTATTTTTATTTAAAATTACTGAAACACTTAACAGATAGTCAGGCTTTATCGACTGCTAATAATCAACGTAATACAATCTCTAGTTGGTATAACAAAATACAAGAATGACCCATTAATTGACAGCTAACAAATCATTATATTATCGTACCAAATTGATAAATCTTATCGTGCATTTACTATAATAGCCATAAAACTAACATATTTCATATGCAAAGTATAAAATACTTGCATTCATAATATCGACTAATAGCGCATAATAGACTGTATATTTGTTTCAATCGACCAACTCAATTGGATTTAGCAAGAGTAAAAGCTTCGTTAAATGGAACTTCATTGATTGGGAGTAAACCGTGAAAAGACAATTGACAAAGTTAAAATCATAAATCATACATTAACCTCAAGCTAACGCGATTTATGACGTCGCGTACAGGCTGACAACGCATTTTCGAAAAAATCATAGTAAGCCGGGGCAGCGGGGTGAAAGCCGGTCGACAATTCCCATACAATCTTATGACAACAAACCACGTAAATCCTATATTAAAAGCTTTATAGGCTAAGAAAAAGTACAGCGGTCGCTCCGAGTATCGAACGACTCGGCAACGATTGTGGCCACGACGTCCCCGTGTATGCTCTAGCGAGATGTCGCAACGCGATTGTCACAGGAGAATAAAATAGTAACGAGAGACGCAACATCACAAAAGTCCCGTATCGTCGAAATTCATATACGTACCCTCGCGGTGTTGGTGACGTCGGCGGCCGAGGTGCCGCTGCTTATCAGAACCAGGAGCACGAGGGTCAGGGCCGGCATGATGAGGCCGCACGACCTCCCGGGGAGGGGAGCTCGCGCCAGCGGGCAAAATGGTCCGGGGCTCAGGTCGCGGACTCCTGGGCACCGGAGGCGGCCGCCATTCGCCGGCCGTGCGACGGCTTCTCGTGTGCGGGGGAGTCCGGCGTTGGCGCGTGGCTGCCTCGCAATATGCGGGAGAAACCGAGGAAGGCCGCCGCTGTGGTACAGGAGGAGGGCGTGCGAGAGGCGAGCCGCTCCTCGTCCAGTCGCGCCAAGTGCTGCCGAGCGACTGAGAGCCCGAGCACTTACCACTTGTTGTGGAGCGGAGCCCAACAGCAGCAGCAGCAGCAGCAGCAGCAGCAGCAGCAGCAGTAGCAGCAGCAACAGCAGCAACAGCAGTAGCAGCAGCACCACCACCAGCAACAATAGCAGCAATAGCAACAACAGCAGCACCAATAACACCAACAACACCAACAGCAGCAGTGTTGCTGCTCTCTCGCACGATTCTTCTATTCACTCGTGAGCTTTCTCTCGTTTTTCCACCACACGAGCACCTTGTCACACACACACACACACACACACTTTCTCTCTCTCTCTCTCTCTCAAAATTTTCCCCTTCCTCATTGTTTTTAAAAAATACACGTACAAATAGAGAGTAAATGAGTGAGCGAGAGTGAAAGAGAGTGACACGAAGCCAAAGCTCGACATTTTTCTGTTATTTTTAGTTTAACAAGGATCTAATGATCTATTATATCTTAGAATAATTTTAACAAAAGTTTGCACTTTTCAATAAATTCACTAATTATAAGCAATAATATGTCTCCGACGAAATGTTATACGATACGCTTTAATATGTCGCTTTAGTTGTAATTTAATATATTGTGCTTGCAATTTACCTTTAAATAATTACCATTAAAGCCAAAATTTCCCAACAAATTTTTAAGACTTCTTCGCAAATATAGAGAAGATAGATGTCTTCATTTCAATAATTAATGAAACATTCATTATCAATTTTATGAATCAAAAAATGCATATTTTTACTTGAGTAAAATACATGTCTTGGGAAATTTCATTAAATCACAACATACCGATTAATAAGTACAAATTTTTAAATATACTTTATAGCCATTTTGTTAAGAATTTAATTCACGTTGTTTTTTCAAGATGAAATAAATCTTAAAAATAATGAATACCTAGCTTTAGCTTTTGCGGGAATTCAATTTATTTGTAATCAAACTATCTGCGATGCAAATACGCGCATTCAAGAAATGATTGGAATTTTAAATTTTAAAACGAAAAATTCAAGAACCACATTGACATAAAATATGGACTTTAAAGACAATGTTACAGAATTATCACATCTCTCGAAACTCACAGTTAATCCTTATTTTTATATAATTATTTTTTTTAATTTGTTTTGGCATTGTTAGTTTTGTTTAAATTTAATTTATGTATATATAAAGGACTCTTGCGAGGCTTTTATTCCATTGATACAATTTTAAAATTGATAAGGAACTATCAGACCCTTTGTAAATTCGATTATAATAATCGATTAATAGTTAGATTAGCCATTGAAATTTCAATGGATAATAATTAAAATTTTTGAAAAAATAACATGTTAACGTTCTCTTAGCATTTATGCGTGACATTTATAAATTATTATCAAACAAAATATGCAATTCGAAATATGCTAATGAAAACGGCGAAATGAATTTTCACAAAAATAGCGAGTCTCTCAATAATCATTCTCTAAGAAATAAATCAACAATGAGAGGAGAAAGCATTTAAATTCAGCATTATGACGAAAAAGAAACTCATTACGAATAGCATTTAAATTAGATTTCTCAAATGAGTTTTGCCGAAGAGTGTCAGAATCCGTTTGCACAACTAAATGCAAAAAGGGCACGATGAGCTTAAGATTTCTCGGCTACGTCGACGATGACCACAACGAGTGGACTTACGAAAACAGAGCGAAACTAGATAATACTGAAAGAGAAAGAGGGGATATTGTGAGACCGGAGCGATGCCAGGCTGTCTCGTCTTTTTCTTCCCTCTTCCGCCTTAGCCGCTCTCCTCTCGTACGGCCGCTCTCATCGGCTTTTAGGGAACCCCGGAGAAAAGAATAAAAAACGGAAATAATATTTTCAAAGTCCGACCGGTTATTCCCCTACGATTTCGCAAGAATTCTGAAAATGTATGCGGTTTCGAAAAGAAAGCGCTTTAACTGAATGCGAATTTGGAATTTTAATGCACAATAAAAAAAGCGATTCATCGTAATAAGGTGAAAACAAAATTTATATTTTATTTATGTTTTGTTGTGCTAAAGAGCCCAGAAAGCGTTGGCTATTTTTTTTGTTTTTCTTTCCGATGAATTAATTGACACATTAAGTCCAAATGGGTGTTAAGTGTAAAGAAGAGTATTCATATTTTCAACATTTTTGCCATCCCTGCCATTTCTCCGTTTCAAATATCTAGCTAATTCTCATACTTGGTTCTTAATGCTTTTAATCGTTCGCATCTACAGCCTCGGATATTGAATAATGATAACTGTAGGGAGGAATAATCTTACGTAACACTATAAAATCATTATAGACAACATCTTACCAATTGACATTGTTATAATTATTTTAAATATACGTTCGTTTCATTCGTTCATTCATTCATTTTTTTATTTTTATTTTGTTATTGTTCTATATTTTTTATATTTGACAAACGAGATTCAAGAGAATCCTCGAGTTACATTGTACGCAATCAATTTACTAATAGCGAATATTACAACAGCTAAAGTCCAAGTTTCAAAATGATTCCAAAATAGTTAACACAAATGTCTAATTAGAAGTCATTGGCACCGACTCCAATAAGACTCGAAGACAAGTGTGGAAAAATAGCATTATTTAATAATCTTTTGTAATGATAAAAAAAAAAAAAAAAAAAAAAAAAAAAAAGAGAGAGAGAGAGAGGGAGAAACGAATAAAGCGAGAACGGAAATTTCAACAGAAAAAAGGGAACTCGGCATACGGCGATTGCAATGACAGTTTATCAGGGGCGATGCAGGAAATCACTTTTTGACATCTCAAGCTTAGCTGTCCAAAATTTCGATCACTTTTCTGTAAGAGGCAGGACTCTCCAACATTATGACGGGTCAAAATACAATCCGACATTCATTTTCAATTCCTGCTTGTCATTCGAAATTTCACGCTCAAATGAAACGCGCCGTAAATTCCTCTGGCATCCACAGTTTACATTTCATGCGCGCTCTACAAATAGACGCGTTTGCAACATAAAGGGTAACATTATACGCGCGTGGCATCTTCGGCTAATAAAGGCTTATCACAGTGACGCGGGTTAGGGTCGGGGAGAGTAACAGGAGGTGATACGAATTTCTATCCGAGCGAAAGATCTAGGGAGTCGTTTCGCCGAATTGTACGCATCAATTTTGAATGCCGATGCTGAATTTAGCGCCGTTGAAGGATTCGCCGGAGGCGACGTACAACGAGGTTGCATTAATCAGCGGCTTATCTTTGAGGATCATTCTAACGATGCGCCATCTGCTGATCATGAGCGTAAAGCTCAATGTAGATGGCGCTTTTGCTTGATAATCCTCACCGTCGTCGGCCTCACCGATTCACAAAGAATCGTCGTCATATATCATTGTACAAGATCTGCCACCAACTCACCATCCACACTGGGTTTCGCACGTAATTCCTATGGAACAAATTTCGAGGGCTTAGGGCGCGATTTGGAAGGTCCAAATGGAGTGGCATTGGTCGAAGAATTATACTTAAATATAAAGGGAACCTCGCTCTTGACTATAGAACCTTAAAAGCGTAATATTTTTACAATAAGAAAATGAATAAATATTTCGTGCATTTAAGTTATAGAAGGTTAAACTTATGGGCGTAATTTGTAGGTATAAAAATACGAATAGTATAGTATTTTCTTCATTTTATTGGTTTCAACTTTCTCTATTGAATATGGAAGCGAACTTATATCGCAAATTTTAAATTCAACGAGCAATTACGACGTCTCATTGGAAGTATATATAATGCCTCGATTGTCCTTGTTATTACAGTGAAACAAAATTTATTTTATAAAATAGTGTTTGTGTACATATAAATAAAGTATATCGTTTCAATCTTTAATAATCTTTAATTAAAATTTATAATTTAAAATCTTTAATTTCAGATTTGTGAATTATCAAACTGACGTATTATTTATTCACATAATAATATGCGATATAGTTATTTATAATAAACGTACGCATTGCAAATGAAATTCGATTTTATGCTAAATTATTTGGCAACGTCTACAAGTTAAAAGCATAATTAATAAAGAGAAACAATTTTTAATTAAAAAAAAAAAAAAAAAAAAAAAAAAAAAAAAAAAAATTAAACAAACAAACAAGTAGCAAGGCATCTGAAAGTAAGCTACAAGTTCGTCTTACAAGAATGAAATGAAAAATAAAGAAGAGATTAACGTTTTAGAGAAGATCGGCTCATTCTTTACTATCAATCGGGCCAGTAGTTTTCGTTTTGTGCGCTGAGTTTAAAAGTTTAAGCATTGAATGCTCAACAAAACCGTCAGACATGCTGTTGCTTGTCTGGATGAATGTAGGGTAAGTGTATATATGTACGGGCTGCTCGAATTATTTTTTTTATAGAGGCGAATGAAAGAACTTGTCAGTATGGAATTCGAAGAAAGAATATATATATATATAAGTGTACAAGATCCGGTCATATATTAATAGGAGAAATTAGATTATTTTAGGTCGGCACTTCGTATTGTTCGAATCGTGCTTATTAATTATTTCTTCTTTTTAAATAATCAGCATTACTTCAATAGTTATTGTGGCGCATGAAGCAACTAATAAAATCCCTTTAAACTGTTATTACTTCTAGTGCACTGCTGATCAAGCTTTTGTGAGCTATTTATATACTACTTGATCCCCTTCTACAAAAGATTAAACACATGTTTATAGATATTTCACACACCACTGAGATTATTGTTCTATAGTCTGATTTACGCAAGCGTTAAAAAAAAGTTATTACGGTATTTTTCTTTAAAAGATATAAAACTAAATTTATTAAAACGAACTATTAGAAATTAAATCGTATTTTTAAAGTAACGTATATTCGAAAGAAAAATAAAATTGATAATAGATGTTGTGAAATCGAGCTGAAATAGTCGACAAATATTTCGACAATAATAAGGTTAACTGACTTATTATATCAATAAATTTTGTACTTATTCGTTTTCTACAGTAAATAACTACATCTAATGCACTTACTCTCATATTTACAT